TCCCATCCTTCGCCCTGGTGCAAAAGCATCACCAGCCTGGCATGGGTATAGTGGATCCACATAACCACACCGTAAACTTAATGGTAGTGGGTGTGGTCAGCAGAATGATGTAGGGTCCCTTGTACCTAGGCTACAACTACTGCTGGCAGTGTCTCTTCACATATACCCATCACCCAGTCAGTACCTGTGGGGTTCAGCAGGGACACCAGATTCATAGAGGGCTCTTAGTTTGGGTCAAATCTTCTTGTGAGTCCAGTGGACCCCTCATATAGAATCCAGGAGGTCTTTTCATCCAGTTCTGCCAGCAGATCTTCCTGGAGGTTGGGGGTGATTGGGAGTGGGGTACCAAACATAATTTCAAATGGGGTTAGCCCCATCTGATAAGGGGAGTTCCTAATCCTATACAAGGCAACAGGAAGGAGAACCACTCAGCCTGTGCCAGTCTCTAAGATTAATTTAGTTAAGGTCTCTTAAAAAGAATTCTGTTCATGTACTCTACCTATCCTAAACGCTGGGGTCTATAAGCACAATGTAATTCCAATCACACCCCAGGATGGTGGCCAAATTCTGACTCAACTGGGACACAAAAGCTGGTCCATTGTCTGACTGGTTTCGTGCCACTGAGCTTGGTTCCTGGATTTTTGGGGTTGGTCACTGCATTGGTGAGTTGGCAAGCCTTGCAGTTGGTAATATTTACAATTTTTGTTGTGCATCTTTGATTCTTATTCTCAACTGTCTAACCAAGTCCTGCATTCTCTGTGTTCCCATATGTGAGGATGGATGGATGGATCTTGTTGAGCAGTCTCTCTCCCAGATGTTCAGGCAGGATGATTTTGCTGTCTGCATCTCTCTACCATCCGTCTAGACACTGGGTCGTAGGGAGGATCTTGATCCAGGCAAGGCCTTCCTTAGTATACCCAGGATTTTTGGGTAGATTAGGTGCCCCTGGGTCCACCAGTACATGGTCTCTTGAGTGCCACCTGCCAGGCAGTTTTGTCAGCCAGATTGTTGCCCCTAGGGTCCATTTCCTCTCTGGTGACCAGGGCAATGGATGATGGCCAGTTTCTTGGGTAACCATAGGGCTTTAAGGAAGGCCAGGATCTCATCTTTATTTTTGATAACTTTTCGTGGTTAGCAGTCTCCTTTCTTGATATATTGCCTCATGCAAATGCACCATGGCAAAAGCATACCAGCCGTCTGTGTAGACATTAACCTTCTGTCCTTGCCTCAGTTCTAATGTCTCAGTTAGGGCTATCAATTCCACATGTTGGGCGGACATCCTAGTTGGCATTGGCTCTGCCCATATTACCTTCTCTGCAGTGGTGACTGCCGCCCCTGCATACCTCCAGCCTTCCTGCACGAAGCTGCTGCTGTCATTATACTAGGTAATGGGGTGTCCCACAAGTCTGGCCTAATGCTGTGTGCCTGGGCCAGGATCCTGGAGCAGTCATGCAGCAGCGCTTCCAGGTCAAGATCGGGCAGTGGAGTAGCCAGACTCAGAGTTGAGGGCATCTGGAAAGTTATTCTGGCGGGGTTAAGCAACAGAGTGATAATGAGTCATTTGGGTATTGCTCAGCTCCCAATGGGGGCCTGCTTGAGAACTCCCTCAAGAGTATGGGTGGTGGTTATGGTGAGACTTTGTCCCAAGAACAGCTTGTCAGCACCCTTAACCAGTTGGGCCATAGCCACTATTATGCGGAGGCAGGGTGGCCATCCAGCTGCCATGGGACCCAGTTTATTTGGTGTATAGGCTATGGTCTGTTGCCAGGGGCCAAGTGTTTGGGTTAGGGCTCCCTTGGCCCTTTGTTTTCATCTATATATATAGGTGAAATGGTTTGGTCACATCTGGCAGACCCAGTGCCAGGGCCGAGAGCAAGCTTTGAGTTTTTCAAAGGCCAACTGGTGCTCCTTAGTCCAGGTGAAATCTCACCCTTCTTTGGCATGGCAAGTTCTACAAAACCTGGAATCCACAGGTGACAGAAACCTGCTGAGCCTGAGAACTCTCTCACTTGCCTGGCAGTCGTAGGTGATCTTAAGCACTGTCTCCTTCTGTGCGTCCGAGAGCCACCACTGCCCTTCCTTCAAGACGTACCCCAGGTATGCTACCTGCTGCTTGCAGATTAGGGCTTCCTTGGCTGAGGGCAGAACCCTAGGTCCCCCAGGGTTTGCAATAGCTGCTCAATCCCAGTCAGGCAGGTCTCTCGATCTGCAGCTGCAATCAGTAAGTCATCAGCATACTGCAACAGATTGATTTCTGTGTTTCTGTGCTGGGTACTCACCCAAGTCCTCACGCAGAGCTTCATCAAAGATGGTGGGAGAGTTTTTGAATCCTCGTGGTAGTCTGGCCAGCTGGCCGCTGATCCTGACCTCTGGGTCATGCCATTGAAAGGTGAAGTACTGTTGGCTTTTGGAGGCCAGAGGCAGACTGAAAAGGGCATCTTTAAGTCCAGGATGGTATACCATTGCCGATTCAGGGGCAACAAGCTGAGTGGGCTATACGGGTTAGGCACTGTGGGGTGTATGTCAATCACCCTCTTGTTGACCTCTCGCAAGTCCTGGACTGGTCTGTAATCATTGCTGTGAGGCTTCTTGATGGGCAAGAGGAGTGTGTTCCAGGCTGACTGCACAGGCCTGAGGACACCTAAGTTTGGTAGCCTCATGACGTGTGGTGTGATGTCCTTTTTGGCCTCTAGGGGTACGGATAGACCTTGACTGGGTCTGCCCCCTGCTTAATTTCCACATGGGGGGTGGGGATGACACAATGTGTCACCAGTCCCACTCCCCGTTTCAGACCAGGCCGATGGGAACTCTTGAAGCCGTTTCTCCAGCTGAGGGTCAGATTCAGTGGCTACCTGACGCAGCCTGTACTCTCCTGTCAAATTACTGATCACCAGTACATGAATGGGTTTCCCATTTTCATTAAACAATTTAGCTCCTTCATTAGAGAAATATATCTGGGCTTTCATTTTGGTAAGTAAATCACAGCCTAACAAGGGGTATGGACATTCTGGAATTACCAGGAATGAGTGGGCTACCCAGCCCCGTTCCCAAGTTCACTATTCTTCGTGTAGTCCATGAATAAGGTTTGACTCTGGTGGCACCCTGAATTCAAGTCTTTTTATCTGCCATGGGTCCATCAGCCCTCAGTAGCAGAGTTCTGATCTCCCGTGTCCACCATGAAGTCAATTGGTTTCCCCTCCACTCTTAGGGTTACCCTAGGCTCGGGAGGTGGGGGGCAAACTCCATCTTCCCTAATCATTGTCCAAATCCCGCTGGCTAAGGACTTTAGTACTGCTCCTAGCCGCCTTTCGGGGGCATTCTTTGGCCCAGTGCCCTTCCTCTTTACAGCCCATGCATCAATTCTTTAACAGCTGGGGCCTTTCTCTGTTACCTCTCGGTTTCTCATGCTCCTCTTCAGCCACCAGGTGCCGCAGTCGCCTTTGGCGCTCTTCTGGTTCTGCAGTAGTGGCTAGCAGCACACTAGCGGGGTGCTGATTCTTGCACCGCTCCCTTTTAATTTCCTTTTCCTCCGCACTATCCCTTCCATTATACGCTTTCTCAGACACCTTTACTAAATCCCTACTGCTCTTTTCTCCGAGGTGTTCCAGCTTCTGTAGCTTTCTCTTGATATCCGGAGCTGACTGGCTAATGAAAGCTGGAGTCATTGCAGCAGTATTTTCCTGGGACTCAGGATCATAAGGTGTTTACCTTCTGGAGGTGCTCCAGGATGCCACTGGGCTTTCATTTACTTCCTGTCTAACATCACAGACTTTATTCAAATTCGCAGGCCACCTTGCAGCTGCCTTGAGACCCACCAACAGAGTCTGGCAATAGACCAGGAGGTCGCTCCTACCTTCAGCCATGTCCCACACCAGGCGAACCAGGGGAGAAGCTGCATCTATGAGAGCCTGGTTAGCTGGGCACTCTCCAGTAGGACCTGGAACCAGCTTCCAGGCCTCTGTCCTATCCAGTCTCTCTCCTCTGTCATGAAGAGGACCTGAAAAAGCTGCTGACAGTCATGCCACATGGGGAGATAACGTAAACAATAATAGGTCCAGCCTATATTATTTACTCCCAGGGTCTGTGGAAGAGTCTAACAACCAGCTGAGGATTCTAATCTGAAGGATATCAAATAAATCTAAGCACAGAGTTCGTTAGTCCATTCACTTTATTTTTTGAAGTCAATTCTGTCTACAGTTTCTTAGGTCCTCTCAGTCCCTCCTGCTGTCAGTCCCTCCTGCTGTCAGTCCCTCCTGCTGTCAGTCCCTTCTGCTGTTCTCTCACGTCTACCTAGTTCTTTCCGTCTCCGTCCTCATCTCTGTTCTTCTCAATCAGCTCTCTTCTGCTGTGAGGTAACCAGTATATATAAACAGTAATTCTTTGGCAAAGCAATGTGTGGCCTGAAGTTTTCAGGGTCGCAGAGAGAGGTGATAAGGATCCACACATAAAGCAATAAATGTCTGCTTCCAATTACAACCCAAAAGGGGAGTGACTAAAGGGGAGTTCTCCAGTAGGGTCAATTAAAGGCTAAGATCATTTAGGGAATCTAGGAATAGCACCTGGCTGAGGAGGAATTAAAACAATCTGCACAAGAAAGAAGCTTGGCACCTATCACCTGCCTGGCCTTGACAGCAATCTCATTGGGTCAGTGGGAAGTAACTACCTTAACTCAGTAACTAACAAATGGCTAAAACATCATCCCAGGAATGGGAGCGGTAAATCTCTTAAATTAGGGTCTTGTATAAATAACCTGGGGTGAAGGTAAGGAGTTGAGGATTAAATTGCTAGTGGTTCTTTTTCTGTGGGTGAGATGAGCTAATGTTTATCTGTGTGCAGTTTTGTCCTTGGAAAAAGGTATCTTAGCTGAAATACTTTTGTCCGGAGAATAAACACAGCTGGGGACAGTTATCCAATTATCCCAAATGTATAGGGCAAGTTGTACCCAAGATTGAGATGCAATCGTGATTATATGTACACATAACACAGAGATGCACAGTAAATGGGGAGACTCATAGCTGTTATTGCATAGAAGTTTACAAGAGACAGCCAGTTCATTCAAAAGGCAGGAATTCCCTAACGCCTTGCTTGACTGTTTCCTCTAACAGAACCCTTAGTTCTGATGGGTTGACCTTCTGAACTCTAGTTGGCACTGCTGAATACTCTCATGGACTTTTGCTACCAGTGGCTCTCAATAGGGAAATGGGTGAAGAGAATTCTCAAAGAGGCTAATCAGCTCCTTAGGTTTTTCTGAGAAGGGTGCATTTTGGGGTCTCCAATTGTAAAGATCACTAGTGGCAAAGTAAGAGTAGTGGTATAGTTGACTCCCATCCTGGTTGGGGGTCCTGCCACCCTAAGGGGAAGGACTGTTGTGCCAGGATCAGGGCTATCTCCCCTACATCCGTGAGCCAGTCCCGCTCTTGCCCGAGGCGGAGCATTCAGGGTTGGCAGAGGAGCCAGCTGAACTGGCAGGGGGGTGGGAGTGGGGGCTGGCACTGGGATGGCTGCACCAGGATCGGTGGTATAAGGATGGTAGTGGGGAGATCTTTTCCTCTGTGTTGCTTCCTTGAAGGGCCTCTGGCTTAGGAGCTGAAGGGGCCTTCACAGGTAAGTCTTTCTCGGCAGCAGCCAGGACCTTAACCTGTTGGGGCAAGAATGGTTTAATCCAGGAAGGGGGGTCCTCTACTGTCTCTAAAAACCACTATGTAGGGCATTTGGTTGGGATGCCCCACTCGTAGTCTGAAGACAACTTCCTTCATTGCCGCATAAGGACCAAGTTGAAGGTTCCCTTGGGAGGCCAGCCAATGTTGATTGCCAGCCAGTCTGACCTGCAAAAGGTGACAAGTTTAGACTTTTAAATCAGAATTGAAAGATTATGAGCATGTGTGTTGACATCTTGGTAGTGAGTTAAGAGTAAGTCCAGAGAAGTTGTCTGTCTCATAGCATTCGTTGCTGTCAGAAACAAATACAGAGAAACACAGACACCACAGAAGACCAAGGGAACAAGACAAAGGCTTGCCCCAATGAGACTGACAGCAGAGTGTCAAAGAGAATGATAGTTTGCTGCCATGTTGTGGGGGCAACCCACTTGTGCATCCAAATACCGTCCTGATCTGAGGCTCTCCATCCTCAAACAAACAGATGTGGGGCTCTCCACCTCCACCACAGGGGTCTGGAACGTCTTCTGGCCCTTTGTGATCACGGTCCTGCAGCGTGTTCGCTCTGACTGTAATCACCGACTTAGGCCCACCACAGAAACAAAACTAGCAGACAGGACAGACCCACACCTAGAGACACTTACTGGCTGGTCAGGGAGCCTCCACTCTGGAGTCCATGGGTCATGGGGGTTCCTGACCAATGCACCAAATGTTGTATCCATGTTGCAAAAACCCAAGAGACCACCGAAGAGCTGGTTCTGATGCAAACACACAAGGACCTTTATAGTCAGGTTCAAATCCAGTCCGCAGCCCTATGCTCCGATGCCACCGATGGGAAGAATGTAGCCCCAAGCTCAGGAGTAGGAGAGTTTAAAAAACAAACAAACACAACCCAGGAGTTACATGCCTTGGCGTTTTGGGATTGGGTAACGGAATATGGGGCAAGGCGATTTTTGAAACTATTAGTTAAACTTTTGACTCGAAACCACAATCTGCTGACAGGATATCTGCAAGGGCCATAAACCATTGATAGAATGTCTGCAGGAACATCTGGATCTTGTTAATTTTTACTGCCATGTTTCCTAATTGGCTGCTTCTAGGGTATCTGTTCAAATTTCACTGTCACAGCACATTCCTGAGGTTATTCCTGGAACTGAGTTCAGCCCCCGGTCACCAGATGGTCTAAGATGGTGGCCTTTCCCTAAGATGGAGTCTGTAAAGTTAAGTCTATGCCTTCACATGTTGTAGTCTGATTGTCCTTTGCTTTACATCTAGTATCCACTTATGAGTGAGTACATACCACGTTTGTCACTCAGGATATTTTCTAGTTCCATCCATTTGTCTGCAAGTTTCATGCTGTCATTGTTTTTTTACGGCTGAGTAGTACTCCATTGTGTCTATCTACCACATTTTCTTTATCCATTCTTTGATTGAGGCACATCTAGGCTGTTTCCAGGTTCTGGCTATTATGAATGCTGCTACTCTGAACAGAGTTAACAAGTGTCCTCGTGGTATGCTCAAGCATCCTTTGGGTATATGGGTGGCACTTGCTTATAACCGCAGCACTTAAAAAAGGCTGGTGTTAATCCTCCAGGTGAGAATAAGACCAGTACCACAATTATGAACCAAACAAAAGTTTTTGTTTTTATTTGGTTTTTCGAAACAGGGTTTCTCTGTGTAGCTTTGAAGCCTGTCCTGGAACTCATTCTGTAGACCAGGCTGGCCTCAAATTCACAGAGATCCACCTGCCTCTGACTCCTTGGTGCTGGGATTAAAGGCATTGGCCATTACTGCCAGCTTGAGCCAAATTTGAAGCAAACTTTAATTAAATACTGGTCAGGATGATAGACTCTAGCCAGGTCCGTTCATGGGTTCCCAGAAAATGGTGATGGGTCACATTTCGCAGAGGCTTAAAAAGGGAACCTCATAAGGCCACCGTATTTCCCATCAGGTCCAATCAAGGTAAATTATACATGCTGATGTACTTCCTGCCTGCATTCCTCCTGCCTACATCCAATCAAGGGCAAGCATACATCCTGATGCATTTCCTGCCTACATACCTCCTACTTACATGTGATCAAGCATACCTGGTACAGTTGAGTCAAACAGATGTGTTTAAGGGAGTGAAACATGGCTTGCTATCTCCCATAAACAATAGCCTCCAGCATTTCAGGGACGCATCTGTTCTTGGGCAAATGGCTTCTAGGCATTTTTGTTTCATGGATCTCTTAGGCACAGTAATTAAAACTTAAAACCTAACTTTGGCTCTCATACTGGGACTAGAGGGTCCCAAGTTCAAGGTTGGCCTGACTACATCACAAGACTAAAAATTAAAGAAATTTCTTAGCTTATACTGTTGAAATGCACTTCAGGGTCCTTGAAATGCAAAGGTTTGAAGTTGTACCCACAGATGTCTGGCATCTCAGGAAGCACAATTCTCCAAAAGGAAAAAGAAGCTTCTGATCGAACTATAAAGAACAGTCAAGTGGGAGCCTGCAGACTACAGTGGCGTTCTGGAGGCCGGGCAATACACATGGGAGGGTAGAGCAAGAAAGGCTTGCTGAAGCCCTGCCAGCTTGGCCACCACCTGGGTAGGCAGGAGTGTGGAACTCTGGGAGTGTCACCACTTCTCCCTTGACCAGCACCTTCGGACACAAAAGGATAGTGTGTGGCCGGCCATAGCCAGGCACCACTGTCCAGTCTTCCTTTGTTTCGCCCTTTGGCCTTCAATTGGAACCAGCAACACAGGCACCTTTTTCCTGGAACAGGGGTGCTGTTTACACCCTCAAAGAGAAGCAGCTTCCTCAAGGTAGGATCAACAGTAAGTTTTTGAAGAGAGTTAGTAGACTCAATGAATCAACTACTCCCAGGGGGAGGGTTGCAGCACCCAGGCAACATCCATTCACAAAACAATTAATTCCCTTGGTAGAAGCTCTAGAGAAAAGGAGAGGAAGGAACCCAAGCTAGGCTGAGAGTGCTCCTGGGGAAGGCTCCTGGGGAAGGCTTAATCTGTTAATCCCACCAAATAAGGACAAAGACCACTGACCACAAATTATGGCCAAGTTAAAGCAAACTTTATTCTGTGTAGAGCAGAGCCAGCCTGGCAGCTGTCTACCCCGAAAATGGGGTTCTGGAGGACAGCCCTGAGCCACTTTTCCCACACCTCTTTTAGAAGACAAAACTGAAGGGGGGGCGGGGGACTGCAAGTGGCATAACCGGGCAGTTAAGGAAATTATGGTGGTTTGAAAGAAAAAGGCCCCCATAGGTTTACAAGGAGTGGCACAATCAGGAAGTGTGGCCTTGTTGGTGTAGGTGTGGCTTTGTTGGAGGTGTATGTCACCAGGGGATGAGCTTTGAAGTCTCAAAGGCCCAAGCCAAGTCTCTGCCCAGTGCCCTCAGATCCAGATGTAGAACTTTTCAGCTACCTCTCCAGCACCATGTTTACCTGGATGCTGCCATGCTTCACGCTATGATGAATAATGAACTAAACCTCTGAAACTGTAAGCCAGCTCCAATGAAATGTTTTCCTTTATAAGAGTTGCCACAGTCATGGTGTTGCTTCACAGCAATAAAAACCCTAAGACAAAAGTCTTCCTGAAACATCTGGTACAGAACATTCTGCAGTTATGGAGTGGGGTGCAGCCTAATTCCAAGAAACAGAAACTTGAAACTTTAAGTTTTAAAGTAAACAGAAACCTGACATAGCTAGAGTCTCAAAATGGCTCCTGGTCTTAAAATGGAGTGGGGCTGGTTTCTCATTCCTCCCTTGTCTTATGGACCCCTGTAAAATCCTTCATCAGGAGCTTCCATTTCTAACTATTATAACGGTTGCGAGTGCCAGCAGAGGGCAAGTATTTTAGCATTCTCTATACACTAGAAGATCATAAGGAACATCAGGAGGACGTATTAGGGGACCTGAAGCAACCGAAACAAGGGTGGTTAGCCAGAGTGACCAGTAAAATAGGGATTGGTACCAATTGTTGGACTACATGTTTGGCTTTTTTTTTTTTTTTTTAAGTATTTGGTTTTAAGATTGTTTCTTACCACAGCCCCAGTTTCTCCTGGAGTCACGCACAGCCCTCTTTGCTTCATAAAGAGTAAGTTATGGCCTCTTCTGTTTTATAAAACTATTTCTGCCAGAGAATCCACCTGATGTTTCCAATCTAGAGACTGAGGCCTTTAAGAACCCTAAATCCTGTTCAACTTTACTGTTAAGAGTTTTGAACCCTTGATCTTGCAGGACCAAGGCTGATATTCCTAATGCTACAAGATCCTGCAATCACTGCATTCATTAAGAGTGATTCAGATATGAATTCCGTGAAGGGACAACACATAAACCCAAGAGGGCAGCTGTTGTAGCATCCAGTTCATCTTGAGGATTTCAATCAGTCATAAAATAAATGTTCTAGTTTCAAAAGAAAAAAAAAAAAGGAGTGGAACTAATATGGAAACCACCCATTTTAGTCAAGTGTCATGGCTAGATTCAGGAAGCCTTTGTCCCCATCATAAATATCAACTTGAGGAAGGATATGAATGAGGACATAAAAAAGCAGATGTGCCCTGTGTTTAATGCAGGAGACCAACAGGCACTGTGTGATACCATAGGTATATCCACCAACAGGAGGGGAGGAACAGTTGCTGACTCTCAGTACCTGTACCTGTGGTAGTCAGGTTCTGAATGATGGCTGTACAATTATCCAAATAGGGAGGAACCAAAGAGCCTGGTGATTTTGACATGAACATAGTCCTTGTCCATTACATAGGGTTAGCTTGGGCTGGGAACCAGGAGCATCAGTAGAGGCTTGTCACAAGACTGTAAGCCATTCCTACATAATGAGGGTTTGGGGTTGAGGCAGAGCCAACAGTCCTTCATCATGTTAGGTGCAGAATGGCTGAGTAAATGTTACCATTTAATATTAAGCACAGAGGCTTAATATTAATCATAAAGGATCAGCCAATAACTCAGGCTTGTTACTAGATAACTCTTAAATTTTAAATTAACCCATGTTTCTTATCTATGCCTTGCTACGTGGCTTGGTATATTTTCTCAGGATGGCATGCCCATCTTGCTTCTCTTTGTATCTGTTTCTGACTCCCAGACTCCACCCTTTTTCTTCCTAGCATTCTCTCAGTTTGTCTCCCCCTGTCTAAACTCTACCTGTCCAGCTACTGGTCATTCAGCTTCTTTATTAAACCAATCACAGAGACATACATATATATTCACACAGTGTAAAGGAATATTCCACATTTCACATTTTTTGTCTAAATAAAGTTTTAATTCTAACATAAGAAAACTATAGACAATAAGAAAAATTAACATGCAAGAATTACATTCACAATGTTCAATACACTTGTATTTGGCAAATTCAGAGAAAATACTCCATTATCTATCCTATCTTGGTGAGTCCAAAGTGTTATGCCTAATTCACTTTCTATCCTAACTTGTATCACCAACCCAAAACTATCCTTTTATGTCTCTCAACCTTATACACTTTACACCTCTTTTGTTTCTTTTCTGAATTTGGTAACAAGAAAAACTATTAACTATCTAGTCTTCAACTCCATCAGAGACCTGAGAAGGGCATATTAACTTAGTAAACAGGAAGTGCAGAGCAAACAACCTCCAAAACTAAGAAATGACAGAAACAGCTGGCTGCCTGGACAGTCACCCAAGGTTCCTCTGTAACATTGGGGCATCCATCTTCAGCCTACAGGCCTAGAATTATCTGACAGAATTTTCTGTGAAGCAGGAATTTTGAAGGACTGTCCCTCCTTGTCTTGGCAAAGTTTGACAGTCACTTTCTTTTGTGTCCTGCTTGTCCAAATTGGACAGCATACTGTCAGAAGTCAAGGCAAAGGCAGTTTTTTGCCCAGTGGCTAACTTTTGCCACAAAGAAAGCAAACTCCACATGGAGGTTCTTTGATGCCCATTATCTTCTCTGAAGTAGATTGGTGCTGCCAGGAACTGACACGTCTCATTGTCATCAAAAAACCTTATATTATTAAAACATCTTAAATGCCATATTCTGATGATCTCTGAAGTGTTTGAAGACCACCTATCTATCTAAAATATATGTTTGACCTTGAAAACATACTTAACATGACTACACGTTTGATTGTAATAAGTGACTAATTACTAACCTGTACTTCTTTATTACCCTAAAAAGTTTGTAAAAATAACTTTCAAGGACTAGAAATTTATATTACATTGTTAAATGAGCTGTAGAGGTATAATACCTTAAGCAAGAATAGAAGCATGTGTACAGTATGTTCTAACAAAAATAACCTTAAATTTGTACCAATATACAAAAATGTCTTAAACCAAAGTAGAAATATCTATACAGCATAACAAAAATAACTTCAAATTTGTATCAATATATAAAAAATCCATAGCAATATAAAATATTTAAGACTAGTAGTTGCTGTTTTGGTTTAAAAGTAGATTCAATAATCTACCTTTTATCCTATCATTTCTATATCCCCCCTTTTTCTTTTCAGAATGAGTTCCCTTAATCTAATCTTTTTTATTCATCTTTTTTCCAGACCATTACCAACCCCCACAATGTAACCAACCCCCATAAATGAAGAAAAATATCCATAACCCACTAAACAACCAAAAACCACCCACCCCACCTCTTGGGAATGTGGGCGTCGTGTTCTTAAAATTGCTTCCTGCTGTCTGGGGGCGATGGCATCTTCAGGGGACCCTGAGAAAATTAGGACAATTGTCCCTGGGAGAGCTAGCTGTATCACTTGTTGTCCAGTCTCTGTGTAATGGGAAAGTGCAGGGGGCTTATCTCAAGTCCTAGATAGAGTAGTCTGTGAGGCTGGACCATCTCAGCTAGCCACCTTGACTTTGTAGTCCAAAACCGATCTTTGGGTGGTGTTTGTCAGCTTAGTGGCCTTACATCAATCCAGGTGGAATCACTGTTGTGGGGCCCCATCATCCTTTTGGAGACTTCAAAGGTTGCTGTTAGAAATGGTCACAGTTCACTGCAGAAAACTTAAACATTTTAAATGTCATATGCAGCATATCTAAAAGAGGTTAAAGGACCACAGTTTGTTAAAATACATCCAGAGTATAAAAACCTAATTCCTAAGACTGGGTGGTGGTGGCCACGCCTTTAATCCCAGCACTCAGGAGGCAGAGCCAGGTGGATCTCTGTGAGTTCGAGGCCACCCTGGTCTACAGAGCAAGTTCCAGAACAGGCTCCAAAGCTACACAGAGAAACCCTGTCTTAAAAAATAAATAAATAAAAGTTTTAAAGAGTCAAAATAAAAGCAAAGGACTATGAAATTATGGCAACAGAATAGTCCCTCAATTTTGACTTTTCTTCTGTCCTATATCAGGTGTCTCTTATGACATGAGACAGAGATTTTGGATTTTCCTTTAACAGGAGATGGCTCAGGGGAGGTTAGAACAGGCAAGACAGTAGTTGGTGAGTCTTTGGAACATGGGTGCACTGGAAGAACCTGGGGTATAGGGAGGTCTCTACTGGGACCTATATGTCTAGGTTCTTCTTACTGAATATCACTGGATGGTAATTGAGGAAGCAGGATCCAGTCCAACTGCATATAGCCTAATTCCCCAAGTTCTTCCTACATTCCAATGTGAATTTTCAGAAGAATCACAAATGTTCCAGATTTAAGTTGGAAGATACAATGTTACAATGACCTCAACTGACAATTAGAGTTGGTTTTAGAGGGGTTGGGAGTTGTGGTAAAAATATCATGTTCTTGGGGGCTGGAGAGATGGCTCAGAGGTTAAGAGCACCGACTGCTCTTCCAGAGGTCCTGAGTTCAATTCCCTATTACCTACGTGGTAGCTCATAACCATCTGTAATGAGATCTGGCGCCCTCTTCCGTATATACAATAAATAAATCTTTTAAAAAAAAATCATGTTCTGTCTTCCAGAGGGTTAGTTTTGTAGCCCAAAGAGGCATAAAGATAGGCATTGGTACTTTGGCAGAACCTGCTTCCCTGGGCTGGACAGGCATAAACCAGGATGCTTTCCAAGTTTTTGTTTGTTTGTTTTGTTTTTTTCCCAATTGTAAATATCCACAGCCCATTCCAAGTTGGAAGGGACAGAGTTTGCAGTTATCAGCTTTCAGATTAGGCTGATTGGAAGTTACAATGGTGGACAACATCTAACTTCCCATTTGCAAGTGGTTGGTCTATGTGGGTTATTATAGCTGAAGCTCAAGGGTAAAAACATAACCCAACAGATCAAGACTAACTTTATGGCTTCCATAGTCTAAGGAAAGGAGTAAAAAAGGAAAGTCAGTAGCAAAACAGTAAACCTTAGAGATCTTAACTTTGAGGGGATCCTATTCACTCACTTCATTTTTGACAACCCTCCCCTCTTCCACAGGATCCTCTGGTGCCTTCTTGAGAGGCACTACGAACCTTAACAGCATTGGGCTGTTAAGAATCACAATTTGGGGCCTTTTCATCTTAGTTCCATGCAGTCAGTTTTGAAACGGTGGACTAGAATAGAACAGTGTCACCAGGTTGGAACCGGTAGTCAGGCAGGCAGTGCCTGACCAGCTGGACAGCCTGGACTTGAGGAAAGCTCTTATCCAAAGTTAAATATAATCTCTTTAGGGATTAAGAGATTAGATAATCTGTTAATAGCTCTTTATGTACTCTGGGGACCATTGGAGGTGGCCATCCATAAATTATTTCATATGGAGCAGTTTTTCCCAGGAGGAGGCGCAACAGGCCCTTAGCAGGTCCAAAGACAAGAGGTCAACCAAGTTAACACCTGTCTTAAGAACATATTTATGAGAATTTCTTTTAAGGTTCCATTCATTCTATCTATCTATCTATCTATCTATCTATCTATCTATCTATCTATCTATCCATCCATCCATCCATCCATCCTGAACTCTGAGGATAATACATGCAATGTAGTTTCCAATTTATATTGAGGGCTTCTGTAGTCATTTGAGACAGTTTAGCCATGAAGGCCAGGTCACTGTCAGAGCCCAGAGTTGAGGGGAGGCCAAATCTGGGTATGATTTCCATCATTAATTTCTTAGTTACTATCTGGGTCGTTTCCATTCAGGTTGGAAAGGCCTCTCTCTATCTCACCAACACAGTGTTGATAAGGACTAGCAAGTATTTATATGCCTATGACCCTTGTTTGATTTCAGTAAAGTCCAATTCCCCAAATTCATCAGATACAGAACCTTGACTTTGGTGCCCTTGGGGCAACATATCCATTTTTTGCATTCACCTGAGTGCAGGTCAAGCAGCAATTTGAGATGTTTTGAAGTACCTCCTGATGTCCCAGTAACCAAAGATTGGGAGAGGTAAGTTCTACTTGAAGGTCTTTTTTATGTACTTGAAGTTCTTCCTCATGCCTTGGAGATTGTGACTCACATAAAGAAGCCAGAGGTCTCTTTAGGAGGCCATGAGACATTCTTGAAACATGTGTCCCTGTACTTACACAGGAACAAGATATTCAAAACAAAGTAAATGTAAAAAGGTCAACAAGATTTGGTGGGCTAGAGGAGTTGGCCACAGATCAGATTATAAGCCCCGTCCCATTATACACTCAGGCAATTATGCAGCATATACAGCAACAAAGTTATATTAGCTGAAGTTACCTTAGCCCTACACAAAGACTTATATTGATGAGCAAAGTATGGAGTGGAAAGATGATAAAAGAATGAGATGTCAGGGCCTCTCTTTCTTAGGAAAGTTAGCACATGCAGAGCCACTGTGATATCACATGACTAAGGAACAACAGAATGCCAGAATTAGACATATAGACAAATTCTATGAAGATATAAAATATAAACATTGTATTATGCCAGAATTTGAACAGCTTAAGCCTGAGGATTTTTCTTGGGCACACTGACCATGGAGTTAATAATACACTGCTTGGGACATGGCAATATGCCTGGCTGCCTTGAAGACTTTGTTTTGGTCTAATGTCCTTGTAACCACAAAAGCTAGTCAGCTAGATAGCTGAGAACAGGCTATCATATGCCTGTAGATTCTTAAAAATTAGGTTATAGGATTAATGAGTAAGAATGGTAGCTCTGTTTATTAATGATGTCAAACCTTAGGAAAAGCTGAGCGGTGGTGGCACACGCCTTTAATCCCAGCACTCGGGAGGCAGAGCCATGTGGTGGTATTTTACTTGTACTGAAATGTGATTTTAATTGTATGTTAATAAATAAAGTTGTCTGGGGGTCAGAGCTATGAGAGCCATAGCAAGTGCGTGGCGGCGGTGGCGCACGCCTTTAAGGACCTGGAGGGCGGTACATTCAGGCAGTGACGAGGCAGTCACATATTTGGGTTTACAACCAATGAGAAGGCAGAACAGCTAGACTATATAAAGACACACACAGGAAGTAGGTCCCCTTTTCGGAGAGCTCTCTTGGCTGGAGAGGATCCCTGAATCAGGAAGGGTGAGGCTCTTAGCTCTGACCTCTTGGCTTTCTTCTCTGAATCGGCTCTGTGTTTCTTATTTAATAAGACTGTTGCTTACATCTACAGAGCCAGGCGGATCTCTGTGAGTTCGAGGCCAGTCTGGACTACCAAGTGAGTTCCAGGAAAGGTGCAAAACTACACAGAGAAACCCTGCCTCGAAAAACCAAAAAAAAAAAAAAAAAAACTTAGGAAAAATGATTAAAATGATAACTCTGTCTGTCACAGTTTATTAATGACTAAAAAATGAACAAAAAACACATGTCTAAAACAAAAAATGATATGATCTATGTTTTGGACATCATGATGCATCTCAGCTTACTAAATTTATATAAATAAAGAAGCACTCTGCCGGGCGGTGGTGGCGCACGCCTTTAATCCCAGCACTCGGGAGGCAGAGTCAGGCGGATCTCTGTGAGTTCGAGGCCAGCCTGGGCTACCAAGTGAGTTCCAGGAAAGGCGCAAAGCTACACAGAGAAACCCTGTCTCGAAAAACCAAAAAAAAAAAAAAGAAGCACTCTGGCTGCTAGTCAGGCTGCAAGATCCTCCCAACCACCATGGCCTGGCTTACCTCCTTCTGTCGTCAACTTCTAACATCCTCTTCTAGGACCTACACCACCAGGGATGGCTCCTAGCAAATGAGGTCCAGCTGGCTACCCTGAATGACATTCTGGATCTTCAGGCAATCATGTATGATTTCCTGAGGGTCACTGTCCAGGAATAGGGTAGCAAGGTTGATAGCCATGGATTTGTCAAAAGCCAATCTATCCTTATTTAGGAGAAGGGCCTGGTATAGGGTTAGAGGAGCATTAGACATCCAGCAGTATCATCTCTTAATGAGAGTCTTAATGCATGTGGGATCATTATGGTCAGATTCTGTCCCAGGGTAAGTTTGTCCGCCTCCTTTATAAGGATTGGTAGCTGCCATGGCTTGTAGACAAGGGGACCATCCTGAGGCCACAGGATCCAATCTTGTTGAAATGTAGGCAACTGGCCTTTTCCAGGGACCCAGGGCTTGGGTCAGGACTCCTTTGGCAATGTCCTTTCTCTCATAGACATAGAGGTGGAAGGGCTTGGAGGTGTCAGGAAGAGCTAAGGCAGAAGCCTACATAAGCGCCTTTTAAGACCTGCTAACTTTCCTCAGTGTACTCCAAAGGGGTGTTAGCCCCTGCCACGGCTGAGTACAAGGGTCTGGCAATTTCAGCAAACCTGGGTATCCAGAGGCAGCAATACACAATAACTCCCAGGAACTCTCTAATCTGCCTCTTTGTGGTTTGAGTAGGGGTTCAAATTATGACTTCTATGCAGGCCTTTGATAATAGCCTTTCTCCTTCCTTTAATTCATATCCCAAATAGGTGACCCACAGAGAGCAAATCTGAGCTTTCTCTGTGGAAACTTGATAGCCGAGTTGAGCCAGAGTTCTTAAAGAGACCCTGAGTAGCCAAACAGTCCTCCTTAAATTTTTTTGCACCCAGCAACAAATCATCCACATACTGGAGTAAGGTAACTTTTGGATACTCATTGCAGAAGAGACTTAAGTCCTGGTTGAGGGCTTCATCCAAGATGGTAGGGGAGCTGCTGAACCCCTGAGGTAATCTGGTCCAGGTCAGTTGCCCTGATATTCTCAGTTCAGGGTCAGCACATTCAAATGTAAAGATGGGCTGACTTAGTTTTGACGAGGGAATGGAGAAAGACGCATCCCTTAGATCCAGTACCTTATAAACCTGCTCAGGCAGCAGCATGCTGAGCAGAGTATAAAGAGGGTTTGCAACAGTCAAGCAAATAGGTTTCTTCCTGCTCATTCACTCCCCTTAAATCCTGTCCTGGTTGATAGTGTTGGTCCCAGGCTTTTGGACTGGTAATAGGGGTGTTCCAGGCTGACTGGCATGGAATGAGTATGCCTGTCTTGAGGAGGCAACTGAGATGTACCTTGATTCCCTCTCTGGTCTCTGTACTGATGGGATACTGTCTGACTCGGATGGGCATGGCCTCAGAAGTCAGCTGAACTATAAGTGGCAACACATGCTTAGCCAGACCAGGACTGGTTTTGGCTCAGACAGCAAGAACATCCCTGATCAGTTGCTCTTTTAATCTCCCCTCAGGGGTGTGGGTCAGACCCTAGAGGAGAAAGAGGAGGAGGGACTACTGGATTAAGGGACAGGTAATGGTCAGGATTGTGGCTAGGCACCCTAGTGTATCTCCTGAGAATGAGAAGGTTGCCTGGAGCTTGCTTAGGACGTCACTTCCCAGCAAAGGGAATGGGCACATTCAAGGCTAACAAGGAATGAATCATTGTCCTCTCTCCCAGATTAATAGTCTATGTTGTAGTCCATTTAGATTTTCTGACTTCCCCTGTTGGCCCCTGCATTTCCATTGTTTGAATGGCAAGAGGCCCTAGGGGTTTTGTAATACCAAATGTGAAGCCCCCATATCGACTAGGAAGTTTACAGGTTGGTACTAATTGAAAGGATTATTACTACAGACTCCTGGGGGTCTAATTTGAAAAAGCTATGGCCCCACTATTGTCCTAAAGCCAAACGTGGCCTTGGCCAGGGAGGACCTACCCATCTCTGTTTGGGGCATTCATGTTTCCAGTGCCCCAATTCCTTGCAGTAAGCACACTGGTCTCTTCGCAGGGGCCTCCCCCTTCTGTTGTATGTTGTTTGGCCAGGACTGAAGGAGCCACAGGAATGTTGCCCATAGATCACATTCCTCAACAGCTGCATTTGTTTTTCAATCTCTCTATTGTCAAACACTTCCTGGGCTACTTGCAATAATTCTGACCTACTCATCTCAAAAAATCGATCCATTCTTTGAATTTCTTTACGTATGTCTGGGGAAGACTGGGCTACGAAGCTCAGGTTAATCGTGAAGCGGTTTGCTGGGTCATCTGGATCTATGGATGTATATTCACGGTATGCCTCCAGGAGGCGTTCAAGAAACGCTGACGGTGGTTCCTTTGGACCTTGTTTTGTATCTGTCACCTTGGAATAGTTAGTGGGCTTCCGGGCTGCCCGTTTTAGTCCATTAAGCAAAGCCTGGTGGTAATCATTGAGTAACCTCCTACCTTCCTCTGTCCTATAGTTCCAGTCTGGTCTCTCTGTAGGCAGGACATCCATTCCACAAAGTTCTTTAGCTGCATTCGTCAGAATCCGTTCCCTCTCCCACTTTGTGAAGAGGATATATAAGATGATTTGACACTCATCCCAAGTAGGATGGTGCATGAGGAAGATCAATTCAATTAGAGAGATTAGGGGCTTTGGGTCTGTGCTAAAAGGGGGGCACTGCACCTTCCAGTTAAGAAGATCCCTGGTGGTCAAAGGCTCATAGGCTATAGAGCTCCGCGTTGTGCTGAAAGGAGGGTTCTGGATGTTCTGGTTATAAAGATCAGTGCTGGTAAAAGGCACACAGGCATCAGAGGGCGGGGGTAGAGCTTGGGGTGGGGGTTGAGGTGGGGGATGTTTTAGGGGTTTGGGTTGAGGTGGGGGGCGTGTTACAGGTTTGGGTTGAGGTGGGGTGTGTGTTACAGGTTTGGGTTGAGGTGGGGGATGTGTTACAGGTTTGGGTTGAGGTGGGGGATGTGTTACAGGTTTGGGTTGAGGTGGGGGATGTGTTACAGGTTTGGGTTGAGGTGGGGGCTGAGGGAGGTGAGGTGATGGGGAATGAGGAAGGCCATTTCTGACCATATAAACCTTCATCCATGGCGGTGGATTAGATGTTGCTTCTGCCCAAGGCAAAATGTATCCAATTTGGTTCAGCTGGCCAGGTAATCTGCGGACAACATCTACTACCGCCCATGCCACCTGGGGATCAAAGGTGCCCCCAGAGGGCCATTTGACCTCGAACATGGGCCATGTATATTGACAGAAGGTCCGGAGACGTTTCTTGGTAATACGGTTATAACACTTCTTAACACTACGGGTGTAAAGTTCATCAAAATTGTCCAGTACACAGTTTAGGGGAGTATCAACTTTGCTAGTCTTATTTCCCATTTTGTCGACCGGTCACCGCAAGTCCAAACCACAGAACTCAGGAAAAAGAGACAGAAAAGACAAAACAGCACAGGGTACAGGGGGCCAAGAACCAGGCAGGCAGTGTGACTTCTCCTTAGAGCCCTGGACAGGAGTTCATGTGTCTCCTAAAGCACCTCACTGTCCCTAAATGGGATCCCAACAGAACCAGGACCAGATGTCATATAAGGAAAACTATGACTTACCCACAGAGGCCTCCTCAGACAGGTGCTTACTGGTTTTCTTGTAGCCTTGGGCCAGCCAAACCGAGCCGCGGCCCTTGGAATGTCTCAAGGGGTACACCCCATGGGAAGTGACGCTCCAGTCCCTGGGGTTCGGAAGGGAAGGGTCTGAGATCTGAATTTGGGTAAGGGGGTCTTATATCACCCAAGCCTCCAAACGTTAATCCCACTGAATAAGCACAAAGACCATCTCAGTCTGTGCCCAGCCGCCTATGTGGCGGCTGTCTTCCCCCTAAGACAGGGTTCGAGAGAACAGCCCCGAGCACCTCTCTCACAGGACGAGACCCCACAGACGGAGATTTTGCAAGCGGGCGGGTTTACAGAAAGAGAACGCGGCAGCTGTGGAACTCTCCCTGGACCATCGGGTACAAAACGCCTCGCGGCTATGGGGCCGGCGGGGGCAGGCGAGGGCCGAGAACAGGGAACTTAGTTTTGCCTAAGTTTCAACATGGCTGTTGCTCTTACATGTTGCTCCGGGGCTTTCTCCACCCAAAAATGCCCGGACCCAGGAAACCGGACCCTCGGCCGCACACGCTGCAGGCCGGCTCCTCCCGCAGGGTGGCCATGCGGGTGGCAAGTCGCGACCACGGCGGCCACGTTTCCGCCAGGTCCCAACACAGTACTCACCGTGCCGGCCCACGCGCGGGAAGTCCCAGCTGCCGCCGCCGCCGCCGCCACCGCGGGCACCGCCGCAGCCCCGGGTCTCTCCCGCAACCGGACCGTTCCGAGCCCGCCAACAAACTCCTTTCTCCCAATTCCCGCCCACGGTGGGCGGTCCCGAAGCGCAGGAGCCAATCAGAGGCCGCGGCTCTGTGACGGATGGGCCAACGAACCCGTACGGTGGTCGCCCGGGCCGCCGTTACCCAGAGAGACGCCCGCAAGGCAGAGGAAGGAGGAAGCGACTCCCACCAGGTTCTTAAAGCGACAGGCCATTGTCTTTCTGCCCTGGTGGCCAGAATTGGATAGAGAAGATCAGTAAGTGCCCGGCGGTGGTGGCAGACTGATCTCTGAGTTCGAGGCCAGGCCCGGTCTATAGAGGGACTTCTGGGACATCTAGGGCTACATAAAGAAACCCTGTCTCAAAAAACTAAAAGAAGAGACAGTAAAAAGGGGGGAAGGGGGAGTCAGGGAGGGAGGAAGAGACAGAGACAGAGAGAGATCTCTTGTGCAGAAATCTGCTTAGCCTGGTAGCATAAACAGTACATAGCATACATGGGCTGGAGGCAGTCCAATGTAGCTGCAGGTTTGATAATAACTCTGGCCCTCTAGATCTCTGAGGACTGCAGGCAAGTTGATCTGTTTTGCATATCTGGTTCTTGCAGGCATTAGGAATATCACCAACCCTTTCCCAAAATGCTCAGTAAAGTGTCTCTATTTCACCTGGATCTGGGGATATTTAAGAGGCGCCTTGGCCAGAGGTGACCAGTTGGCCTAATGTGCTGTTAAGGAACTTTCCAAAGGGAAAAGGCGGCATCAAATGATAGCTTCATTAAATGAATGACAGCCTGCATTTATAGTTTTAGTGCTCTGCCAATTTCGTGAGGCTACAGCACTTAGGTAATTGTGGGCTGGATAAAGCTTCCCATGCAAAATTGATTCTTAGCAAGTTCATAGCCATTGCCATGGTTCCTTAAAGGCTCCCTGTGAACTTGTACATGCTAACCATCTAAAATCTGGCCCACATTATCACTGTTCCCATCTTCAGCTCTGAGGCCTAAATTAGGTATGGCATACATGACTATTAAATATAGCAAACGAAAAGACATCAGGGCAAGAACATGTGTTGAATTATAGACTTTAGACATGAGCCGAAAGGAAAGGAGAGATAAGCCTGCTCTGCCATCTGCTTCAGTCCTAGCATGGACCCTGCAGCCTCCCACTGTCAGAGCCCCTACCTGCCAGGCCAGCCCAACACACATGGAGTCCTGAGGTGAAGGGGCCCACCACGGTTTCCTCAGAAATCTCGGTGTTATACATAAGTTGGCTTTGCAGTTTTGAAGTACTACCAGCAAATCTTGTAACATTCAGAACTCTCTTATACAGAATATGACAGGAAGGGTGAAATTAACTATGACATAAATAAGACAGAAGTTTGTTTCTGCAAGGGCAGCTGGGAAATATGGACTATTATATAAACATTTTCCCTCTTCAAGCAAAGTCAGGATTCTGTTAACATGGAAGAGGGAGGGGATGGTGAGCTCCAGGCTAACGATAGACCTTGACTGAAAGGAGATGGATGGAAGTACAGGAGGTGGCCCTTGTGAGGTTATTATCTGGCTTCCAAAAGCATGCACACACATACACTTTCGCACCAATCCACCTGTTAGTGTCCGAGAATCTGAAATAACCCAAGCAGGCACCAGAGTCCACACAAAGCAAGATTTGTATTGAACTGGGCAACAAGAAAACAAAAAACAAAAGAACTGACCGGTCAGGGACAATAGCACAGACTCATAGCTCACTGTATCACCGAATGTTCATTGCAGCAAGTATTTCAGCACAAAAACCCACAAACATCAGTGCCAAGTTACAGTTACATTTTTCCACCAATCAGGATTCAAAGATTAGGGGCTTTCCCTATGTCTTTCCATCATCAGCTGACACAGAGGGTAAGCTGTTTAGTCCAACCAATCAGATTCATTTGTTCTTTTTTGGTGTTAGGAACAACCTACTGTTTTAGAAAACCAAAGATGCATGACAGACTATTTCTTTTGTTTAAGGAGAAGGTTGGTCAGCTTTTGGAAAGTCCCCAGCTCCTCCAGGGCCTGGGAACTTGATTTTGTTCCACTCTGCAGTTAAAATGGAGTCTGAAGTCAAAATTGGAGTACTTAGAACAAGGTGCTTTTTGCCTGTTCCCACACACATAAACAGGTACACACATAAAAAATGAATCAAGGATGATGTGTCGACCTCAATACACAGTTTCCCCCAAGAATTCATGAAACATTGACCAAGCTGGCTTATGTCTGGAGCCTGAAAACAAACAATACTAAATTTAAAAAAGAATTTAAATTATATAATGTGTTCTTTGACTATAATGGAATCAAACTTAAAATTAGCAACAGAAAGATAATGAGAAAGTTTCTAAACATGTAGAAATTTAATAATATACTTCTTTTTTGAAACAGCATCTCTGTTATGTAGCTCTGACTGTCCTGGAACTCCCTATGCAGACCAGGCTGGCTTTCAACTCACAGAGATCTGTGTGCCTTTGCCTCCTGAGTGCTGGAATTAAAGGCATATAACACCACACCTGGCTTAATAATATGCTATTTAATTGCCACAGACAAAAAGAAAATAAATCTTAAAATGAATGACCTTAAAAATGTACACGCTGGACATGGTGGCACATGCCTATAATCCCAGCAATCAGGCATCAGAGGCAAGAAGATCAGGAGTTCAATGCCAATGTCCACTCACAACAAGTGTGAGGCCACTCTGGGCTATGAGATTTTATTTCAGAACACACACACACACGTACACACAATCTCAAGATGTCATGCAAGTTAACGTAATATTAAATGTCACGTAATGGGCACATTATTATTATTATTATTATTATTATTAATTGTGTGTATGTACCTATGTGCCACATCACACTCGTGGGGGTCAGCGAACAACCTGAGGAAGTCAGTTCTCTCTTCCTCCCATGTAGGACTGCGGAGTCAAATACTCAGGTCATCAGGCCTGGGGGCAAGCAATCTCCTCTTGGTATTTTTTCAGGAAAAATTTGTAATCCCCAACAGGGTAAAATTTCTTGTACTACATTAACCATTCCTTCTAAAGTATCTGTATCAGAAGCTGCCAATAAAATGTCATCCATATACTGGTAAATAACGGACTGAGGAATTGTTTACAAACCATTTCCAGTGGTTGATGTACAAAATATTGGCATAAAGTTGGACTGTTTAACATTCCTTGAGGAAGGATTTTCATTGATATCTCTTTGCAGGCTGGGCATTATTGTAAGTAGTCAATGTAAAAGCAAATTTTCTCTATCTTGTCCTTGTAAAGGGATAGTGAAGAAACAATTCTGTAAATCGATAACAAAGTAGGCCAATCTTTAGGTAATAAAGAAGGTAAAGGAATTCTGGACTGTTAGATTGAAAGACCCCCGGAGGAGATCTTCCCTCAGGAGAGACCCCAACCCCAAGGAACACACCGAAACCACGGATCAGATGCAAACAGCAAGAGGGTTTATTCAGATACACAGGTACCTGGGGCGACAAAGTCTCTCGGAGGACTTGCGCGCCCTCCTAGGGTAAGGGGGACTTTTTATAGGATCCCAGGGGCAGAAGTGCGGTTACAGAAGCGAGAAGCATAGTTACAGGGTTCCCATTGGTTGATTCAAATAAGGCCAGGGTGAACTTGGGGACATATTTTTAGTTCTCGGAAATTTGATGTGTGTGGCTGACTTGGCCTTGTGGGTGTTTTCCCAGCCCAACTGTTTATTCCCCAAGGCCAGGTGACCAACCACAGATATCTTATTTTGACTCAATGGTTTCTCTCCCAAGGCCGGGTGGCCGACCACAGTTATGAACTCCTGTTTTTCTAGTACTTGCCTTGCAGAATGGTGTTTCTTAGGCCAAGTAAAAGCCTGTTATAAGCGGGGTCTTTCAAGATTCCATGGGTTGAATTACCTTATTTCTAACTCTCAAATCAGTTAACAATCTCCATTTTCCAGACTTCTCTTTTATTACAAATACAGGAGAATTTCAGGGACTAGTAGATCCCTCAATGTGCTTACATCTTAACTGTTCTTTTACTGGTTTTTCGAGCACCTGTCTCCTGAGTGCTGGGATTAAGGGCGTGCACTACCACTGCCCGGATGAAATAGCATTTCTTTCTTTTTTTTTTTTGTGAAGGAACATTTTCCTCTGATGACTAATAATTTTTAGCCAGAATATTTTTTTTTAACTTTCCTGTTTTACATCAGATCGAGCTTTGAGCAATTTTTCACTATGCAATGGCTCTAGAGCATTTGAAATTAAATTACATAAAGACCATATTTTTAATGGTAAGGGCTCTCTTCTCTGATGAGCTCTCCTCCAAACTCTTAACACTTGTTTTTATACCTTCAGATTTAATTGAACATGAGTTGTCTGAAACCAATGACAATGTCATTTAACTAATACCAAAAGCTCTGTAAGCTATTTTTCCTTCATTTTTACTCTATTTTTTTTTTTAAACAAGCATTGTAATAACTGCACATATCATTGCTCCTGAGATGGGAAGTTTCCCATGACCCTGCTAACCTGGAGTCCTTCTACCCTGAGAGAGCACTTTTTCAAAAATAAGATTTATTCTATATGCTTTTCACATCATGTATCTTGATCCCATTCATTCCTGTCCCTTCCCATCTACCCTCCAGTCCTGCACACACACACACACACACACACATACACACACACACACACACACACACACACACACACACACACACACACAGAGGAACAAAACAAATTTCAAGAGAAAAAGTGAAGAAAATAAAAATGAGAAAAAAAAATTTAAAAGAAAAAAACAGGGAAGGACTTAAAAATCTGATCATGGAAGCTGCAGTGTGACCCAGGTCGTGCTGTAGACTCCTTGGTATACATACACCATACTTGCAAGTGTTCAATGCAAGCAGTCCTTGGTCTGTTTTGAGGCTCCTGGTTTCCACTGCACATTCCATGCTGGGCCCCCACTAGGACTCTCCCTGGACTTCCTGCTGGTGACCTATGTTGTGGAGATCCTGCAGTTTTGGGTCTGCCAGT